CCCCATCGCATGATTTGTGTGAGAATAGAAGACAAGTGTCATCAGCATAAGTAACTATCGACCCATCAAAATTAATATTACAAATTTCGTTACTATATATTATAAATAGAATGGGCCCAAGAACACTACCTTGAGGTATACCATTTTTAATTCCATGTGTTACCATTTACTTCATTAATTTTCAATGACTGTTTTCTATTATGCAAATAGCTTCTAAACCAGTTTAGGCTCGAATTATTAATTCCAAAGCTAGGTAGGTAGTATGTTTATTAAGATTTGATGATTCATTGTATCAAAAGCCTTGGCTATATCTAAAATATTGCTAATGATTTATTGCTATTATCTAGATTACTGTATAGAAATTGAGTGAGTTTATAAAGAGCATTTTCAGTACTTAACCCCGGTCTAAAGCCATACTGGTTTTTTGATAATAAGTTATTTTTTTTCAAGAACTCAATCAGTCTGGCTTTGATAATTTTTTCAAATATCTTAGAAAAATTGCTCTCATAATCGATTTATCACCATTTTTAAACAAAGGTTTAACATCAGCTACTTTTAAGGTATCAGGAAAAATACTTTGTTCAATACTTAAGCTATATATATAAACAAGAGGATTCACTACCAATTTACTAATACTTTTTAACATTTTTATGGACACTTTATCCAAACCACTTGCTGTATCGTCTTTAAAGCTATTAATAATATCAAGTATGTCTGACGATTAAATTTTTTTTAAAAACACATTAAAAGAAACTTTATTAGGAACATGACTATTCTTTGAATTGATTGGTTTTTTTTATATTATTCTGAACGATGTTTATAAAAAAGTTATTAAACATATTAGATGCAGTTATTGGATCATTTTTCAGATTTACTTCACACTCATTATTTTTTAGTTTCACAATGTCATCTTTAAACCTTAATTTAGAACTTGTAACTTCGTTTATTAGATTCCATGTCGATTTTGGATTAGAACTTGCATTTTTAATTTTTGTTCATAAAAATTATTTTTAGCTAGCCTTATAGTTTTTGTGAGATTATTTTTATATTTTTTATAATGCAAAGCTAACGTTAAATTATTTGGATGTTTTTTGCATTTCATTGAAAGAAATTGTTTGCGACGGGTTGAGGTTAATAATCCATTAGTCATCCATTCTTTTAAACATATGTTCTTAGATCTCAATATTATACAAGTAGTAGATTTATCAATTGTATTTTTAATTATTTTATCAAAAACAATACTATAACAGTGATTGACATCATTATAGGCATCATATACTTCGGTCCAATTTTCTTTCTCTAATATTGACGTAATAGATTTATAATCAATTTTATTGAACATTTTTCGATTATTAACAAAATTAGCATTACTAGGAATTGAAACACAAACCGTACAGTGATCTGTTATATCAGTGAGTATTACACCAGCATTAATTGTACCTACTTGTAACATTATCATTACCATTAATAAAAATGTGGTCTAAACAAGAATGATTAACACCCTTTGGCAATCTGGTATAAACGTTTATAAAAGAGATAAATGCACTTTCAGATAACATATTAAGATATTTATTATTATATTCATGTATACCTATTATATTGACATTCATATCACCAGTTATTACCGTTAATTGATTGTTAGTATTTAAACCATCTATTACTTTTCCTAACAAGTTTATAAAGTTATCGCTATCAGTACCGAGAAACCTATAGACACATATTAAATTAATTGGCACTTTGATATTAGATATATAGAGTTTTACTATATTAGAATCTACGAAATCATACTCAAAAAACTCTACACTTAAGTAATGTTTTACAAATACCTTAACAACATCATTTTGATTTCTTTTTATAGAAGAAAAATACAAGCTATAGCCATCTAAAACATAGTTACATGATTGAATATTATGCCAAGTTATTGTTATTTATTGGAAAAATAGTTGTTGAAGATAATAACCAGAACTCTTCTTATTCACATTCAAATTCACTATCAAATAATAAAAACAATAAACTTAAGTTTTCTTCTGCGAAAAGGACCATATTATTTGATACAATGAAACTGATGAGATGTTTATCCAAGGTAAATTTAATAAGCAGGTAATTGTAAATATATAGATGTTATTGTAATTGGTAGATGTATATAATAATTGTATTATATGTAAGATATTTCATTTTATTAATTAATGATAAATTATTTAATGTATTGTGTTTCCATATTTGTGATTTGATAATCAATTGTAAATTATTCATGCTTTTAGAAAACTCTTCAAATACAAGACATTCCATTTTGAACTCTCCTAATGGAAAAATAGTTGTGGGAGATAATGACCAGAACTTTTGTTATTCACATTCAAAGTCACTATCAAATAATAAAAACAGTAATACGCCTATGTTTTCTTCTGCAAAAACTAAAAATCTCGCTAATAATACTGCAGACAAATTGATGCCCAATTGTGGTATTTTAATTTTTAACCTTTTTATATATAACTGTTGTTTTATCATAATTATTTTTTTAGATTTTCAAACATTTGTGATATTTTGAATACATTACAGCTTAAATCCCAGCTAGAAATGTCTTTTGTTATAATATATAATATAGATATTGTTTATAATTATTTGCAACTTAAAAATCTATAAATTGATATTGTTTTTTTTTTTTTTTATTACTCAATTTGATATTAAATGAGATTTCTTTTGAAAAAAATGTTTATAATATACCTTCCATATATTAGTTTTGTAAATGTTATATTATAATAAATTGTAATATCAATCATAAAAAAAAATGTTTTGACATGTTATATTTATATAGATATACTTAAAAAAAATATTTTAATACATAATTCCTGCTTAAGTTACAGCTAAAAAAATTATTTTATAAAAATATATATTATATATAAGATGTTGTTTATAATTATTTGCAACTTAATATCTAGATTTTTTTTTTTTATTACTTGATGTTTGAACAAATGTTATATAGTACATATTATTAGTTTTATACATGTTATATTTAATTATATATAGATAAACTTTAAAAAAATAAGTATTTTTAGACAAAACTTAAGTCCCAGCTAGAAATATCTTTTGTTATAATATAATATATAATATAGATTATATATTGTTTATAATTATTTGCAACTTAAAAATCAATTATATTGTTTTGTTTTTTATTATTACTCAATTCGATATAAAATCATCAGGTTTCTTTTGAAAAATAGTTATTACATGTTATATATTGGTACAACTGAGTGTTTAAAAATTTTGGAAATGCTATAAAAAAAATGCCTGTTAAAAATAAAGAAACACGTTTTTTTTTGTTTTAATGAAATTCCATATCATCGATCCATAATGGTTGACAAAAAAAACCCGCGTACTATATGACATAAGATTCACTCTGTATATTTTTTGCATAGTAAAAAATTATACAATAATAGAAAGTCGTTAATATGTAATAATGCAATTATATTTTTGAAGTTAAAGTTGAAAGGGGGCCCACTAAGTGTATGGCCCAATTGATCCTTAATCCGGGCTTGGTACTCACCTCCTAATTTTATATTTATGCGTGTACCCTTAACCAAAATCTTGGTACGGAGGTACACGGACCATGAACAAAATGTATTAACGTTACAAAGTAAGTAATATTTATATTGGGTACTATTTAGTAAATAGTAAATAGTGTTAATAGCAAAAATAATATTATACAGTATATACGTACTACGTACATTGATATAAAATATAATATTATCTTATTTATCTTGCACAAAATGTTAGTACACAACTATAATAGATAGAGAGCCTTTATATATGATTTATTGTATTATATAATACTTGATTGTTCATAATATATACTCATAAATCATTATTTCACAAAACTAATATACACATTTATTCATAATTTATGAGCCAGATAGATAAATTAAATTTGTTATTCAAATTAGTGAAATTTTTCAGCAACCTAAAAATATCATAATAATTAACAAGACTGACAGTGACTTGTGTATTTTTTATTCATATTATATTATGTTACAAATAAAATAACAATAACATAATCAATTTATTATCAAATAAATAATCAAATAACTAATGTAGAATATTGTATGTATGATTTGGGGGGGGGATGGGTCATTATAAAACCGATACATTTATGAACTGTATGATACTACATAAAAATTTAATTAAAATTGTACTATGATTTATGACATTTTAATATTTATATAGTTATCAGTGTTAAATTATTACACAAGACATCAATCAACAAAATTATTCTTATAATAATAACCTAACCTAATGTTTTTTTAGCATTATAACTCAACCTAAACTAACCTTTTATAATTGTAAATACGTTGTTATAAATACAGCTAACATAATTTGGTTGTTTAGAGTTGAAAAAAATATTGAAAAAAAATTGTATTAACTAACTAAGCATAAACAATTTAAAAAAATAGAAAAGGTGACACAATATATTAAAAACCATACTTTGCTATAATATTAAGATGAAATAAACAAGTGAGATTCCATAATATAATATTTTTATAGCATATTTTGAAAGAGATTTTAATAATGTTACACAAATCACATCTGTATGAAATAAATGTATCAATTACATAAAAAAGGAATTATTTTACATAGTTAAGTGAATTAAATCATCTTAAATTTGAATTATATAAAAAAAGAGGGATTAATGTGATATGCTAAAATAAAGTTGATAATTTACAAATTATTAGAAAATAGTTATTACAAATTAGTAACTACTAATACTGGGTTACATAGCTATTCAAAATAATATATAGAATACAAAACCTATAATCGGTTTTTATGAAACTTAATTAACCAAAAATGAAAAAATGTATGTATAAGTACTTTAATTTTAAGGTTGGAATAAATAATTCTAAATAATTGTTAGAAATTATATACCAATTTACCCAATTTACCGAGGTATGGTCATTTGGGACCCAATGTATCGATGCCGGTAGTTTATGTGACCTTTGCACTTCACGGAATTACTGAGGCTCGTCGGTTGGGCACCCGTTTTCCCGTGCGTACTCTGCGCAGGCGTTGTGAAGATTCATCGCGGCTGATATGTAAGTCCTCGCATCCCAAGGGCATCCATTTTCCCGGGCATACTTAAGGCATTCTAGATTGCCACTTTCCGCGGCGTAGGCGCATGTCCTCTCGTCCCAAGGGCATCCATTTTCCCGGGCATACTTAAGGCATTCTAGATTGCCCCATTCCGCGGCGTAGGCGCATGTCATCTCGTCCCAAGGGCATCCATTTTCCCGGGCATACTTAAGGCATTCTAGATTGCCACTTTCCGCAGCGTAGGCGCATGTCCTCTCGTCCCAAGGGCATCCGTTCTCCCAGGCGTACCTCAAGCACTCCAGATCACTGGCTAGAGCTGCCATGGTGCAGGCCTCACCGTTTCCCCATCCAACGCCCATCTCGTGGGCAAGTTTCAGGCAATCGATGTGCCCACTCAACGCTGCCATCTCACATATGCGTTGAAACTTATTTTTAAACCTGCGGTTCAATTCCCTGTACATGTTCTTCCTACCATTGACCCCGTTTAGTTTTTTGTTGATTTTTATTATTTTGAACAGCGACCAGCAACAGATTCGCATATCGACGTACGGTGTTTCCATTGAGCAGTACTCGTTACGCTCGATCTTGTTGCAAGCGTTGTACGCTGTCTTCAACAGGCTAAGCGGGGCAGACATTTTTTTCGTTGTCCCACGACGTAGCTGTCCGCTGTCTAAACTTGCCGTATATCAGCTTACTACCCGTACGTAAAAGAAAACTCGAAAAGGTCACTCAAGATGTTTAATAATAACGATGAGCGTTCCGAGTTGACTGTAACGATTAACAACTAACAAAAAGTAATGTTCAATGTTAAAAATATTATTGATAATCGACGTGAGAAAATACGATTTAGGCAAAAACGATAGAGAGCTAGTAACGTAAGATGGCGCACAAATAAGAAAGTTAAAAATTCAACCAAGATCATGTGCTTAGATTTGTACAAGTAGGTACAAACATAACCTATAAACTAATGGATTCCACTCTACGAACGGTTCTTGGCAGGAAAAGTTTTTCGTCAGATCCATTTCCTTATCACACGTATACCATGGTACGGACCACGTTCGTGGTTATGATTTTAAACCACATCACTTATCACGATATTGTAGATTGTAGATTTTGATTGTAGATTTATTAATTGCCGCCAAATGGTATGATTTCGGCAGGGAAATATGATTTATACGATTACCCATCAGCAGTGGCGTATTTTCAATTTTTTTCTGGGGGTGGTCCAATAATTCCAACATAATATAGATAGGTACTGATATATAGAAATAGTTTTTAATAGATTATAAGAATAAAAAATAGTTGTTTTATTATATTTTATAATTTTCAAGTGCAAAATCCAAGTGTCTTTTTTTTACAAAGTTTTATTTTTTTATTTGAAGACATTTATTCCAATTCCAATTTCCAAACAATGAATAGATACAAATAATTTATAAATTATACAACTATAAAAAAAATAAATTTGATAGTATTTATTAAATAATTATGAAATGTTAGGTTTTGTCAAATCTGTATTTACACCTATCACAAATGAGAGACTCTTGTATTTAAAAATAAATAGGTATTCTATATTTACTAATTTTAAACACACTAAAAGAAAATCATACATGAAAAGAAAAAAAAAATATACATTGTTTCGACAATGTTTTTGTCACTCCTGAGCCGACAAAACGTTTGTTATATCTACCTAGTAATAATTGTAGAAAATAAGAGTTTATTACAAGCAACAAAAACTATGTAAATATAACAATAATTTTGTTGTTTTCAGCTTTAAAGTAGTTGTTACTTTAACATAGAACATTGTTTATTTTAAATTAAAAATTGTTCCTATTACAAGGAAAATTGTTATTTATAAATATTATTTGTTAAACTTTTTAGCAATATCTTTATTGGTTTAACAAGTATAATGTTGGAATGAATAAAGATGCATGTTGATAATAAGAAAATTATTTATTAAAATAACAATGTAATTTTATCAATAACAATGTAGGTATGCTTCATTGAATATATATATAAAGGCAATTCTTTATTTCTTTATTTTTAACTTTAATTAAATTATAATTACTAAGTAATTATTTATACAAATTATAATTACTGATTATGTTGTACAAACTTAATATTATTGAAAAACATCAAAATATGACATCATCAGAAATGTTACAAAATATGAACTTAAATATAAATAAAATCAATCAAAATAAAATATTTTACACATACATTTCAGCAGTTATACAAATTATAAATACTGATTATGTTATACAAACTTAATACCTATTATTGAAAAACATCAAAATATGAAATCATCAGAAATGTTACAAAATATGACCTTAAATATAAATATAATCAATGAAAATTAAATATTTTACACATAAATTTCAGCAGTTATACAAATTATAAATACTGATTATATTATACAAACTTAATATTATTTAAAAACATCAAAATATGAAATCATCAGAAATGTTACAAATATGAACTTAAATATAAATAAAATCAATCAAAATAAAATATTTTACACATCAATTTCAGCAGTTATACAAATTATAAATACTGATTATGTTATACAAACTTAATATTATTGAAAAACATCAAAATATGACATCATCAGAAATGTTACAAAATATGAACTTAAATATAAATAAAATCAATCAAAATAAAATATTTTACACTTACATTTCAGCAGTTATACAAATTATAAATACTGATTATGTTATACAAACTTAATACCTATTATTGAAAAACATCAAAATATGAAATCATCAGAAATGTTACAAAATATGACCTTAAATATAAATATAATCAATGAAAATTAAATATTTTACACATAAATTTCAGCAGTTATACAAATTATAAATACTGATTATGTTATACAAACTTAATATTATTTAAAAACATCAAAATATGAAATCATCAGAAATGTTACAAATATGAACTTAAATATAAATAAAATCAATCAAAATAAATTATTTTACACATAAATTTCAGCAGTTATACATATTATAAATACTGATTATGTTATACAAACTTAATATTATTGAAAAATATCAAAATATGAAATCATCAGAAATGTTTCAAAATATGAACTTAAATATAAATAAAATCAATCAAAATAAAATATTTTACACATAAATTTCAGCAGTTATACAAATTATAAATACTGATTATGTTATACAAACTTAATATTATTGAAAAACATCAAAATATGAAATCATCAGAAATGTTACAAAATATGAACTTAAATATAAATAAAATCAATCAAAATAAAATATTTTACACATAAATTTCAGCAGTTGTACAAATTATAAATACTGATTATGTTATACAAACTTAATATTATTGAAAAACATTAAAACATGAAATCATCAGAAATGTTACAAAATATGAACTTAAATATAAATAAAATCAATCAAAATAAAATATTTTACACATAAATTTCAGCAGTTATACAAATTATAAATACTGGTTATGTTATACAAACTTAATATTATTGAAAAACATTAAAATATGAAATCATCAGAAATGTTACAAAATATGAACTTAAATATAAATAAAATCAATCAAAATAAAATATTTTACACATAAATTTCAGCAGTTATACAAATTATAAATACTGATTATGTTATACAAACCTAATATTATTGAAAAACATCAAAATATGAAATCATTAGAAATGTTACAAAATATGAACTTAAATATAAATAAAATCAATCAAAATAAAATATTTTACACATAAATTTCAGCAGTTATACAAATTATAAATACTGATTATGTTATACAAACTTAATATTATTGAAAAACATCAAAATATGAAATCATCAGAAATGTTACAAAATATGAACTTAAATATAAATAAAATCAATCAAAATAAAATATTTTACTTCGTGGGAATCGCAATTACTAACCATGACCTCTCCATCAGATTCAAACTCCCTTAAAGCTGCTCTATATACACGGCAGAAGCCATAGCAATACTCAAAACAGTAGATCACATATTACTTAATCACGATCATGGAAACCCCCACAAAAGCAATCTAATCCTGTCAGACTCACTTTCATCACTCACGAGCCTCAAAAACCCATTCAACACTACAGATATAGCAAAACTTATACTTCAAAACACTACCCTAGCATATCAGACAGGAATCAAAATTTCACTAGTATGGATCCCGGGGCCAGCGACATAACCAAGAAGCCAAGAAAGCAGCAGAGCACACTGATATACCCATATTAAATATTACTACATTCGCAGACATAAAAAAACAGATTAAAGAACTTACTAAAATCAAATGGCAAACACACTGGCTCGGACAAACCACTAAATTGAGAAAAATCTAAAACACCATATTCAGTTGGCCCAATTTCCTCACGAAACGAAGAGAAAGAATAATCATTAACAGACTTCGCATCGGGCATACTCGACTAACCCACGGTTATCTCATGTCAAAAGACGAAAAACCTATCTGCACAGCATGTGGCACCGAACTAACAGTTCATCATAATATCATATCCTCACAGAATGCCGACAATACACAGAGGCACTCGATCAGCTGAACATCTCAACCACCTTAGACGCAGCCCTCGGTCCAAATGCAGACTCCTCACTCCAAATCTTGTCTTTTTTAAGAAAATATAAATTGTATGACTTAATTTAAAATTATTATATGTAAGACACCAAAAAAAAAAAAAATGTAATTAATGTAACGTTTATGACTAATGGCCGTTGTCGCCGATGTCTTTCGATCAATAAAAAAAAAAAAAAAAAATTTTTTACATATCGAGTTCAGCCAGAACCAAACTTATTAACGGTTGTGGTTGATCTAATGTATCATGGATAATATAAAGTAGTTTTTGAATGAACAACCATACCATATAAGACTCTGGAGGATAAATTGAATACATGAAATATTTTGAACACTACAACTACGGCTCTCTGAATTACTGAAGTACTCGATTTCTCATGTAGCGATTTCCTTATTTTGTTGTAAATCAAAAACAAATAACTGTAGATACATGAAAATTTCACTGAATGTTTAAATTAGCATTTCATATACACCATATAATTTTGAAAATAAACAAAAATATAAGTACAATATATTAAATTATCATTAACTAAATAAAATACAACAAAATAAAAATTCAGTACCAAGTTGTTTTCATATTTTAAAAGTATAAATACTATTTAGTGCTTGAATAATTATAAATATTTTATTATTGTTCTTAATTATTAAACACAATCTCACAAACATATTATCACGTAGTTGTAGTGTTAAACTTTATTGTTGCAGCAAATACCCATGTACACCAATAAAGTTGAACATACTATAATATATTATGTACATGAACCATGAACAAAAAATGTATTTTTATTTATATTTTTTAATTTACGATTATCATAACAATAAATATTGAATGTAATAAACTAATAAATATTAAAATTATTTCATTAAATAAAATTTCAAAAAATATTTTGTAATAATTGCTATATTAAAATAAAGAAAAAACCTTTTTTTCTGGCAATTATATCTTCCACTTGAGCAGATGGTTCAGCAAAAATAATAAATGATTGTTGTGAATCTCTTATTGAATATTTAATGAGAGATTTTCGTCCTTTGTCATCACTGGTTGTTTTTTTGGATGTTGGCACGAATAGAGTATGCAGAAGGTAAAATACATAACAATCTTGACTATCTAAAAATTATTTATATTCTACAATGAAGAACATCATAAAAAGCCATAAAATATTTACTTTCTGTTAGAACATTTTCTTCATTTAAATCTTCAAATAGCTTAGTACTTTATGAATCTTTAATTTTGAATATAAATAGTTTGATAAGTTTTGAAATATAATTAGGGTATACTGTCATTAAACTAGATTCATTAGGTTGAACAGTGAGAAAATCAATATCAACCTAGGATGAAATTTTTTTTTTTTAATGTTTGTATAGGTATAATATAATTATTTAGCATTTACCAATTTATATCCTGCTGGAAGCTTATAACTAGGCCAAGATATTAATGTTTCAGAGGTACTTTGACTTTTTCTAATACTATTCAATCTGGTATTAACTGTAGCCGCCCATATAACTTCAATCTCATTAAACTAACAATTATCGTGTTTCAAACTATTTAAATAATGGTCAATATTAATTTCACCTTCTGAAATGAAAAAATTAATGGATGAATTTCAAAAACTAAAAATTAGCTAGGTGATATTTGAAAATGTACCGAAATGTTTTGTTTGGGAACCAGAGTTCATTGGTTTTACTGTATTTTTAGTTTTTTCAATAAGTCCACCACTTTTGAGACTTCTAATAACATTATGATATTTGGCATAAAGTTTACCTTTTGGTGCTTTTGGACCATCTCTCATAAAATAATAATCCTATAAAAAAATTATATGAATTTAAATTATTAATAAATAGTAATATTGAATACAATACCTCGACTTCACTAGGAAATGCAGCAATAATTTGATCGGCCATTTCTTCAGCAACTTTAACTGTCATGTTTATTTTTTCTTTAATTGCTGTTTTTATAACTATGTCAACAAGTATTGTCCTACTAGCATCATTTAAAAAACCATTTTTTTTTTAAAATGGTCAAGCATCCTTGATATGAAGACCCAAGGACCTCACGTCCTCACATAAACTTAATACAGGCTTATCGATATTAACTGTAGTAGTACCATGAACTGCCACCTTTAAATGGCCATCTCTATTATTATTGTTTATACATGTACACACATTTATTTGACTATCCTTATTTGTGGACCGAGTTTTCATCAACTTCCCAATAAATTTTATTCGGATACCAAAAGGAAAACCTGCCAATAGAGTGTCACATTGAGAAGGTGTAATGTATTCAAGTGCCTAACACCTACCAACACAAGTTTGATATAAAAAGCTCAAATTCCACTCTTTTAACTGCGTCATTAGTTTTGATGATTCATTTTCGTCCATTTTTAAATATTCCAAATTTTCATACTTTCAGGATTTAAATTATAGTTGCCGATATCCAAGAAATTTGAACTATTATTACAATTGATTGGCAATTCATATTCATCATTTTCATAGAGGTTACTCATTATTTTCAACTATAATAATTTAATTAAGATATAAATTATTTAATGTATTATTTGAATACATACATTTATCACCTAACAAAAATGATTAGTATATTATAAATATAACTTTTATACTATTTTATATTTTAATTTTAACCTTAACTACTAAATATATTACAATAATAGAAAATATAATTGCAAATTTTATATACATAATAATTATAATACACTTTTAATAATACTCTTTGAGTCGAATCATTATTTGACCATTTACTAATCTAACAGTGTTTATAGGAGGTCCGCTAAAGTCTTCTATTTTATAAACACATATATTATTTAACACTGTTAAATTTTAATCAACAACGTACGCATCAAAATGGGAATGCAAATAATTTATTTTAATGTCTTGAACAGCAAGCATGTATTCAAAAATAATAATTTGTAATATTTTATAAAGATGTAATTTGTCTGTAACCTTAGTGACATAAAAATCAGTTTTATAAAGAGTTCCTTTAAAGTCAATTTGGGTGTAACATTTAAATTGTTGGTTTGAAACTAAAGTCTGAATAAGTTCTAACTGTTTACTATTCCTAACTTCATGAGTTTTATTGACAATTACATTTTTGGATTTTGGACAAATGAGTTGATAAGCAAATTTAATTTGCATTTTTTTTGGGAGAGTGAGTGTTATAAAAAATGTTTATTTTTCACTCAAACATACGATTCTAATTCCATCATTACGTCTCAACCATTACCTCGATTTTCATTCTGACAAAATATTCTTATTTTCCACAGCATGAACGAGGGATCGATTGAGGCACATTTTTAAAATTGTATTTAGTTAATTAAATATTGAAGTTGGAAATTTGGTACTTTTTTTGAATTTTTCACAATTTTTATTGCAATTTAAATTACAAAAATTAAAAATGTGGCTCGATTGTTCCCTTGTATATATTACGGACAATCAGAATATTTTTTCAGAATGAAAATCGTTATAATTGTCGACACGTATCGTTGAAATTAGAAACAATATTTTTTGACAAAAAAAAGACGTGGTAGTGAGGCCCCTTATGATAACAATATTGCATATAACATATTATTATACATATATTTGATGACGGAAGAACATAATAATATTATATCATGTATATTATACCCATTATCCATTGTTTATTTTAATTTTAAATACAAATATGAAATGTTATTTAATTCAAATTAAAAATGAGGCAACAGTTTTGATCGGCGTTTATTTTCCATCCAATAGGCAGAACAACAACATCATTTATGAACTATCAGGTAAGAAATATTTCATTTTAATAACTTGTAGACGGTATTAGTAGTTGATTTGAATATTATCGTTATAGTTTGGCAATGTCATTGGTTAATTTAAAAGGTATATACGACACAATTGTTGTCACGTAGTGAAATCTAGTAAACATAGGTTTATCTTTAATAACTATATAGGTATCTGGACGAGGACGACATCGTTTTTTCTTCATATTAGTATGTCTAAGTCTAAACATTAATCATAATTCTTAACTAATTCGTACCGAGTCATAACATATTATTATACAAAAAAACAGAAATAAAATTAATTTCTCTAAATAATTATTGAATCCATACGACATAATATTTAATAAACGTATTACGGTCATGCATGGGGCCCGGCGCGAAAGCTTAATAACTACGAGACAACTGAAATTATATTGCTAGGTATAGACTATAAAAACTGAAAAATATAAAATAAATGTTAATTTTTTTCTTTGCTTAATTTCTTTAGAATTTAGTCACAATTATTGGATTTTGTTAATAATTAATAATAACAAACAATTTAAAAACTGAATTTATCTTAATATACAATTTATAATTTGTAAATTATAATATTTTATTACTAATTATTATTTTCTATATTAAAATGCGGGATAGTCGCAAGTGGGTAACGTTCTACTGTATATAAAATGTCAAGTGGGTCACTATAAATATTATTATGCAGTGTTTGAAAGAACGTTTTATAAAAATTTTACGTGAACTAACCATGAACGCGTTCACTGTTTTATTGAACCTTCTGAACACTGCCATAGCCTATAATATTGTATATTGTTTTCAATTTGAATTCAATGGTATATTATCATTGTATTAAAAATGTGATTTTTATAGGAATATGATGTGGTTCTTGCAAATCCTGTTTTGCTGTCTACATAGCAGATAGTTTGTAGTCTGTTCGTGGGGCGTGGGCTAGGCCGTGGTACAGTAAAATCACATGTGTAGCCAGTCTTTTAATATTATCATATTTATGTAAGGTAATAACTAATAAATAATCAACAATTACTGTGAGTGATAACTGATAAGCAAACATCATAATTGAATAGTAATTCGATAAAAAAAATGTACTATATTATGTTTATTAATTTTCTGTGAAAAATGGCCCGAAGTATTAAAATCGCTGACTGGCCTATCGCCTACCCAGTCCGCCCCTGCCGATATTCGCTATGAAATAATATAAAATATCAAAATACTGTGTTTTTTTTATTTAATTGCCTATCTATAGATTAGTTATCTACACTAACTCGTCGAGTACATATTTTTTTTTCAATTTAGGATGACATTGTGTCTAGTTGTCGACGTGAAAGGTTGACATCCATTTTGGTATACCTATCGCCTCGGTTATCAAAAACATCGTGATCCTGGTGTAATGGTGTGTTACACATAATTTTTATACATCAAATTCAATGTGTCTCTAAATCCCTGGTGAGTAAAGCTTACATTTATAACCTTTATAGTACATAAGTATTTACTTAATGTGTACAAATAATTATTCTATGATCAATGTTCGGTGTACCATACCTATTGATTACAATATTTAACTATTTTTACTAACTTTTATATTTATATTATAATTTTCAAACATTAACAATAATATTTTGTTTCATATTATGTATCTATAATTCCGTAAAAATTAAATCCCTGAAATAAAATATTACATTTCCTAATAATATTTTCACGATGATGTAAACCTTAATAGTAATAATAATAATAATTATTATTATTTAGTCATTGTTACAAGTTTGACTAAAGTATAGATACAATATTTTAATAGATTATAAAATAAAAAATAAAAATATTTCGAATGATCGATACGTCAAATAATACTAATGTTTTATCGAAGAATAGTTAATGGACGTAGGTAGGTAGGTACCTATTCTTTTAAAAGAAGCATTAACTTAAAACGTTTCAAATAATGATATAAAACAAAATAATAGCTATTATTGTTAATATTTGAAAATTATTTATTATGTATTCATTTTTTTTAATGATAAGTACCTATATGTATATATTCGTAATTAAATATTAATAATGTGTACATAACAGCGATTAGCTTTTAAAAATATTTTTATTATTCAATTTCATGTGGTTGTGAGTAATATTTTAGTCTGGAAATTTTTTTCCTAGTTTGTTCGTCGGGAATTTGTATTCCGCAATTCACTGTCCACATATTTCAGTGCATAGTTAAATTTATACATAATAATCTTACTAAATATAGTATATACTGACATAAATCGTTTCTTTAAAACAAATACAGGCATAAAGCTAATAATATTTGCTATTTAGCATATTTATCATAGGCGATATCAAATAATAATTATAAACTTTAAATAAAAAATAAATAATTTAATGCCCACTAGCCACTCTCCTAGTATATGCTTACAACATTCAATAATTTGGCTTTAGCCATTTTCCTCCAATAATATAAAATACCTACCATTTTCCTTAAGACAAAATAAAAATAAATAAATCTTGACCGTTTTCGACCAATAAGGAATTAAGAGTATAAAAAATATACAAAATATATTTTTTAAGTCATTATTTTAACAACAAAAAAAATTACCTTTGAACTATTAATTTTTGTATTAAATAATGTAATGCCCACTAGCCACTCTCCTAGTATATGCTTACAACATTCAATAATTTGGCTTTAGCCATTTTCCTCCAATAATATAAAATACCTACCATTTTCCTTAAGACAAAATAAAAATAAATAAATCTTGACCGTTTTCGACCAATAAGGAATTAAGAGTATAAAATATATACAAAATATATTTTTTAAGTCATTATTTTAACAACAAAAAAAATTACCTTTGAACTATTAATTTTTGTATTAATAATTATAATAAATAAAATAAAATATGTACGTAACTTATTTAGGCGTAAACAAAGTTACAGCGTTACGATGTTATCGACTGTTACTCTCAATTTATAGTACGGTACTCAACACATCACCGGTGTCGGCTAAAATATCGGCTAAATAATTTTATATTTAAAGGCAAATGGACTTGATTTTAGTCCTAAAACTATTTAGAGAAAATACGGTTATCTCATTTTCGGAAGAAAATAAAATTGCCCTATAATTTTATTAATTGATAGGCTCGGATTTAAAAGTAATAA